GTTCCATCAAAATAACAATGGCATTTTTCACAGAACTACAACAAAGAATTATTTTCCAAAGAAGAATACAGATGGCCAACAGGTACATGAAAAAATGCTTAACACCACTAATCATCAGGGAAATGCAAATAAAATCATAATGAGGTATCCTGAACACTGCCATAATGGTTATTATCAAAAAGGCAAGAAATAACAAGTGTTGGCAAGGATGTAGAGAAAAGGAAACCCCTTTGCACTGTTGGTGTGAATGTAAATCGGTACAGGCACTATGGAAAATAGCATGGAGGTTCCTCAAAACTTAAAAATAGAACTACCATACGATCCAGCAATTCCACTTCTGGACTTTTTTGAAGAAAACAAAAACACTAATTCAATAAGATATATGCACCTCTATGTTCATAGAAGCATTATGTAAAATAGTCAAGATATGGAAGCAACCTAAGTGTCCATCTATAGATGAATGGATAAAGAAGATGTGATATATATATATATATATATATATAATGTTTATATGTATATATGTGTGTGTGTATGTATATATATATATATATATATATATATATGCACACTATATATACATACAATATTACTCAGCCATAAAAAAATAATGAAATCTTGCCATTTGGGATAGCATAAATGGACCTAGAGGGTATTATGCTAAGTGAAATAAATCAGACAGAGATAGACAAATACCATATGATTTCACACGTGTGGAATATAGAAAGCAAAACAAACATAACAAAAAGAAACAGACTCATAGATACAGAGAACAAACTGGTGGTTGCCAGAGAGAAAGTGGTTGAAGGATGAGTGAAATAGGAGAGGGAGGTACAAACCTCCCATTACAAAAAAATAAGCCACAGGGATGTAATACACAGCATAGGGAATATATATAGTCAATAATATTGTAATTACTTTGTACAGTGACAGATTGTAACTAGACATCATGGTGATCATTTTGTAATGTATAAAAAATATTGAATCACTGTGTTATAAACCTGAAGCTAATATAATATTACAAGTCAACTATACGTCAATATAAATAAATAAATAGTGGAAACCTTAGAAACCTGAAGGATTGGGGATCTTATTTTATTTTATTTTATACTTATTTAAACTATATTACTGTGAATTTCTTGAATCCTTAATGGAACAATAGACAGAATAAAAAATAAAGAATAGTGTTTTTTTTCCCCATAATTAATAAACCACTGATGGGTAGAGACAATATTTTATTTTATTACTTTACCTCCCACAGTACCTATTCTGTGATTTGCACATGAATTGTCACTCAGTATGTGTTTTGTTGTGCTCAGTTGAACAATTGTGGAATAATTACTTCGTAATTCCTTTGAGCTCTGTGAGAGAATTCTCACCCAAGATTTTGCTGAAAGATGTGTTCAAGTGTTTGAAATTGATGCAGAAATCTATGTTTATTTGCATATCGTTCATTTAAAAAACATAACCTACTTCACCGAATTTCAGGTAACTATAAATTTACTATCATTGGCCCAAGTTCCCTACAACAAAATTAAAAAGAATTTCTGGGAGAGGTAAGTTGCAGATGAGAAATGAGAATGAAGATGTTTTTAACACCAATGATTCTAACAGCAAAGGGACAAGGAAAGACCAGAAGATAAAGCTGACTGCTGATTCACCCTCTTGTATCCATGTGACCTCAGGTAAGCCACCTAATGTGTCTAAGCCTCATTCCTTTTGATTGTTTGAATTTTCTATAAAATGGGGGAAAGTGGAGGATATGCTCTGCTTGCCTCACTGGGTGATAGTGATAATGAACTGTTGGGGTATGTGAAAGCCATACAGACATTATACAATATATAAACCATCATCCTCATTATTATTGTGACACGAGATTAGAACACACTATGTTTCATGTAACATTGCACGTATCTAGCTCTAACTGTATGATGTTAAATAATCACTCTCCTCTTATTCTAAATCCAGAGAACATAATACAACACCTTCCAAAAGAAATCTCACCTGCCCTCAGTCAGGCTATACAGAGACACACCAAGAACTCCCTCAGTGGGGCCATGCCATCTTGGCCTTCAATCTATGAGTCAGAAATTGAACTGGCTAAATTGTAAAGACCACTTTAAGTAACTTGTAATTGTCTTTTTCCTTGACTATGCACAATTTCCCGATTTAAATTATTGTGATAATTTGAGGAAATTCTTTATGAAAGCAATATTTGCAATAAAATTAGTATGTAGCTTGTTCTGGAATTCAGTAAGCTCACCAGGAAGGGTCAGAGTTAAATCCCTCATATTTAGTAAAAATACAAAGAAAATTCACAACAGAATAGTCTTCCTCTGTTGAATTCATAAAAGAGAATACTAATAATATGAAAGAAACAATAAGTGTGAATGTTCACCTACCAGGCATAATATAATGATAAAAATACTGGACGTAAACTACTGAACATCTCTTAAATCTCCATTTTCTCACTTATGCAATGAAATTAGTACCACTTACCTTACCAAATTGTTGTAAGGATTAAATTAGGCAAGGCTTATTAAATAAGAACAGAGCATACCATACTCTTTGTTTCCTTTCTTTCTTTTTTTTTAAAATCTTCCCTGAAATTTGGTTAAAGCAAATCCTGCTTCAAAGGACCATGTTTGTCTCCCTTTCTTGAAGCTAAGGCCATTTCTGGTTTGCTTCTGCCCATTCAGCTATGTAATATAAGCCCCATATTCTTGCTCTCAATAGAGGCCTCTGTAATTTTCTGTATTTCTTTCTTACCTATAGATTCTCCAATTCCAGATCTCAGACTCTAGCTCTGTCACATGAGAAATATCTTCTGTGTGCTCACTGCTTGCGCATGCTTTATCACTCCCTATGTATCACCTGTGTACGTAGAAACGGTAAGGCTGCACAGTAACTACATTATCAAGCATCTTCATTCTACCTCTTCTATCTTAAATGACCAAAAAACTAGTAAAACACTTTCAGCTAACAACAGAAAGAGAAGAGATATAATTTAACCAGAAAGAGAAAAGATATAATTTCAGGTTGTTAATTCAGGTTTTTAAAAATTCACCTTTATTTTTATATTCACCAGGCTTGTGCATAAAATAAAGACTGAAGTGCTCACAGAGGCAGTAATTAGCATCTAAACATACCATATGCTGTTGTTGCACCTATCCAAAGTTATCTAGGTTATCACTGACAAATAGCTTTCCCCAGAACACAAGAAATCGACACCACCTGCTCCTTCTTGGCTTGTGGAGTGAAACAGACTTTATCCTCTACTGCCTCTGCTAAACTGTGCATTACAGGTGAGCCAAAACCACTCTGCCAGCCAATCAAAGAAAAATGACTTCACTCAACAGGAGTACTCTCCCTTGCCAAAAGAAAGGAAAAGAGACCTGAGAAATCATTTAATCCAAGACCCTCATTGTATAGATCAGAATGCAGGTCAAATGCTTTGCCAAAGTCATAAAAGTTAGTTAGTTGCAAAAATGGGATGTGTAAAAACCTTTCTGCTTAAATTAAGGATTCCTTCAGGGAGGGAGCAGGATGTACTGTGGTAAAATACACATAATATGACATAAATATACATAACATGTGTATTTTAAGAGCACAGAACCAGTATTGAGTGAGACTGCCTTGGCTTGTATTATAATTCTTCAATTATATACAAACTACCAAGTTAATCTGTAGGGTCTTCAGTTTTCTCGAAACTATCTTGCAGGATCATTGTGAAGAGTACATGAGACAATGCACATAATATCCATGTAATTGCACCACACGTAGATTAAACACATGATTGCAATTATTATTATTCAACGGTCCAGAAAATCTAAACCTATTAATAGAGTAAATCTATTAAGTCCCAAAATAACAATATCTTCAAAAGAAGGGAACATCCTACATTCAATGGAACTGTGAAGTCAAACTTCCAAATTTTAAAATTTTATCTAGATCACCAACTATTCAGTCTCTTTAAAATTCTCTTTTCTTTAAAAAAAGAAATTCTTTGGAATGGCTGTCCTAAGCTTTCAGTAAATTCACCTGTCCCAGAACATAACCACATATAATATAGAGATTAAGAAATAAAGGTTTTTATTTCCATTTAAAACTCTCATTTGAGCCTTTAAACCAGATTCTAGCTATTATGGAGAATAAAAGATTAAGGAAACAAAATAAAAATTTATGAAGTATGAGGAACTCTGCCTAATTTGAGCTTTGAGCCATGGTTTAAATATTCTTTTAAGGAAAAGGCTCTTAAACCATTTATCTATTGATGGGCATTTAGATTGCTTCCGTGTCTTGGCTATTTTAAATAATACTGCAATGCCATAGGGGTGAATATATTTTTTTGAAATAGTTAAATACTCAGGAATGAAATTGCTGGATTTTAATTTTTTTTTTTTTTTTTTTTTTTTTTGCGGTACGCGGGCCTCTCACTGTTGTGGCCTCTCCCGTTGCGGAGCACAGGCTCCAGACGTGCAGGCTCAGCGGCCATGGCTCACAGACCCAGCCGCCACACGGCATGTGGGATCTTCCCGGACCGGGGCACGAACCCGTGTCCCCTGCATCAGCAGGTGGACTCTCAACCACTGTGCCACCAGGGAAACCTGGATTTTAATTTTTAAAAGAAATCTCCATACTGTTTTCCACAGTGGCTGCACCAATTTACATTCCCACAAATGGGGCACAAGGGTTTCCTCTTCTCCATAACCTCGCAAACTCTTATTTGTTGTCATTTTGATGCTAGCCATTCTGACACGTGTGAAGTGTTATTGTGGTTTTGACTCGCATTTCCCTGATGATTGGTGATATTTAACATCTTTTCATGTGCTTGGTGGTCATCTGTATGTCTTCTGAAAATGTCTATTCAGACCCTGTACCCATTTTTTAATTGGGTTGTTTGTTTTTTGATGTTGAATTATATGAGTTCTTTGCATATTTTGGATATTAACCTTTCTCTCTCTCTCTCTTTTTTCAGTGCCATGCAGCTTGCAGGATCTTACTTCCCTGACCAGGGATTGAACCTGGGCCCCAGTAGTAAAAGCTCTGTGTCTTAACCACTGGACAACCAGGGAATTCCCTGGATATTAACCTATTATGGGGTATATCATTTGCAAATACCTTCTCCCATTCAGTAGATGGCCTTCTCATTTTGTTGGCAGTTTCCTTCACTGTGCAAAAGCTTTTTAGTTTAATGTAATCCAATTTGCCTATTTTTCCTTTTATTTCCCATGCCTAAGGAGACATATATCCCAAAAATATTGCTAAGAACAATATCAAACTACGTACTGCCAAGAAAGGGATCAAGAGGAAAGAGTAGGAAGATGCTGGGCTCACCTCCCCTCACGAACACATCAAATCTACCACTGTATATTGACGCTTGCTGAAATCAACCTGGGGACTAGCAGGACGGCTCTTCAGCAACCAAGGCTGTAAAGAAAGATCCACACAGAGTCTGGTAGGAAGGGATGAGAAGGGATCTGGTTGGGACCTGCACTGTGTCTTTTAGGTAACACAGAAGTGGAGGGGGGATATCACAGCCTCAGGGATCCTCCCCAGGGAGCAGCGGGTTCAAGCCACATATTAGGCACCCTAGCCCTGGGGTCAGACACCAGGAAAACAAGCCTCCTTATCTTGCTTCAAAACTGGTGGGGCACAATCCTACTACTGGGCATATACCCTGAGAAAACCAGAATTCAAAAAGAGTCATGTACCACAATGTTCATTGCAGCTCTATTTACAATAGCCAGGACAAGGAAGCAACCTAAGTGTCCATCAACAGATGAATGGATAAAGAAGATGTGGCACATATATACAATGGAATATTACTCAGCCATAAAAAGAGATGAAATTGAGTTATTTGTAGTGAGGTGGGTGGACCTAGAGTCTGTCATACAGAGTGAAGTAAGTCAGAAAGAGAAAAAGAAATACCGTATGCTAACACACATATATGGGATCTAAGAAAAAAAAAAATGTCATGAAGAACCTAGGGGCAAGACGGGAATAAAGACACAGACCTACTAGAGAATGGACTTGAGGATATGGGGAGAGGGAAGGGTAAGTTGTGACAAAGTGAGAGAGAGGCATGGACATATATACACTACCAAACATAAAATAGATAGCTAGTGGGAAGCAGCCGCATAGCACAGGGAGATCAGCTCAGTGCTTTGTGACCACCTAGAGGGGTGGGATAGGGAGGGTGGGAGGGAGGGAGATGCAAGAGGGAAGAGATATGGGAACATATATATATATATATATGTATAACTGATTCACTTTGTTATAAAGCAGAAACTAACACACCATTGTAAAACAATTATACTCCAATAAAGATGTTAAAAAAAACACAACGGTGTGGCTTACTGGAGGACTGTAAGAGAACCAAGCCTCTGTGATTAAAGCATGCAAGCATAGACTTGCTTACTCCCAGTCACAGCATGGAGGCAGCAGATTGAAAACTACTTGAAGCCCTGGCTGGCTTGCCAGAACTGACCTTGTACAAAAGTTGTAACTATGTTCACCTGCAAATGTGGGATGACAAGTCCTTTAAATGAGAATTAAATATCACAGTAAAGCATGAATTTCTATGATGAATTTAGTAAAGAAGGTTGTTCTGAATTTGACTCACCAAATAATATTGAGTCAGGAAGTTGAGGGATATGGACAAACAAAAAAAATTGGTAACCGATTGATACAATCTGGCACAAACACAGAAGTGCCAATAACATATGCCTCATTTAAAACAGTTTTTGGTAAAGCTTTGGTACTTAGTAAGGTTAGAGACAGACCGTTTAAGAATCATCTAGAACATGTATGAACTTCAAAGAATTATGCAAGGTGAAATACATGAGTCACAAAGGGACAAATGCTATATGAGTCCCCTTATACGTGATATACCCAGAGTAGTCAAATTTGGAGACAGAAAGTCTGGTAGTAGCCAGACTTTATAGAAAATTCCAAATAACATATGCAAATACTCCCCCCTTCAGGAGGTGGAGCTTAATTCTCCCCACCTTCAGTGTGGGCTGGACATAATAATCCCTTCCAAAGAATTGTGAAAAGAAAAAATGGAAAAACCAGAAATGTTAGAATGGAAAAACTTGGCAAGCACAAGCTTAACCTAGTGATCAAGATTATCTTACCAGTGATAAGTCATGCTGATATCATGCACCTCTGATTTGTCATGATAAGTCATGCTGATATCATGCACCTCTGATCTATGACAGAGAGAGAGGGAAGTGGGCCTGTTTAATATGTACAGAGTTTCAGTTTGGAAAGATGAAGAAGTTATGCATATGGATGGTGATGATGGTTGCACAACAATGTGAATGTACTTAATGCTACTGAACTGTACACTTTAAAATGGTTAAAATGGCAAATTTTATGTTATGCGTATTTCACCACAGTTAAAAAAAGAATCACCTGGAGAAACATAGCAAAGGAAGAAACTGACTAGAATAATGCAACTGAAATAACCATGAGAAACTAAACGTGCATATCTATTTATTGGTACCAAATTTCCTTATCATAAAATCTGTTTTTACCTTAAAATGTGTAGAAAATTTCAGCAAAAGAGTGCCCCCTTGTGGACCTCTGTGAAGTGGCAAAATTCATAATGAACAAGTTCTCTAAAATTGCACAGCTCTTCTGAATCATATATTCCAGTTCCTGCACATAAGCCTTGTTGTGCTTGCATTCCTTGATATCAAAGGACTCAAACACCTCCCAAAAGTTAATCCAGAATCAGAGACTAAAAGAAGGATGCTGATATATTTTGGAGAGATTCTTTTCTCTTAATTTCTTAGCTGACATTCAAAAGACTATTCTTTTCTTGGAAGTTTTAAAGGTTGAAGCTCAGTGGCTTTTATGCTAATTGTAACCTAGTATGTTCAAATTCATACTGGGTTTCTGGAAGAAGCTTCTGTACATGAAGAAAGAAAACATTTTGAGTGGATCTTTTTGGGGGGAGGTGGTTTAAGATTAACTTTATTTCATTCATCACTGCATTTTGTTCTGTTTCTCAGTAGAAATGACACCTTTTTTGTTACTGCCATCCAACTTTGCTGTTAATAAATAGGAAACTGAAGAAAATAAATATCTCTTTGATCACCACAAAGTGGTATGATATCTTTCCACAACAGATATTTTTATTTAACACTTTTATTTTAAGTTGCTTTTTGATGATTATGTAATTGTTTCTCCTGTTTTTGTTTTTTAACCTAGAGAATTTCATTAACCTCATTTGGTGGCCAAGGAACATGTTAAGTAAACTTTTAAAGGTCATTGAAAGAATGAGTGGCAAAGCAAGATTAAAATTCTGATGTACTGATTTCCTATGCTAATCTTAGCTGATTGCCAAAGCTGCTGCTCTAAAAATGTATGTTCTTAAGTAGAAGCAATTTTTTTTGAATGGGATTTTTCAAGGTAATTCTATTTTGTAGGGGGAAATAATTTATAGGATTTGATAAAAATTTCTTTTACAAACATAAGTTCCTAATCATGAATATGCTAATTTTGAAGAAGACAATAGAAAGATGAATTGCACCTGCTGGCAGCTTTCACTTGACCTTGGAAAGGTTAGAGTCATCCAGAGATCTCCTTAGAAATACTTTTTAGTGAAAAGTTCAAATTAAATGTCTTTTTACACTTTGGCTTCTGTGTCCTTAGGATCTGGAACTTGAACCAGTCTGGTATTAATGCATTAACTGTAAGTATCTTAAGCAATTTGTGGTTACCCATCGTGAGATGCTTTGAAGATCATTAGTTATAAGTTCATGATGTCACATTGTCTCATTAGTAGGCTATTGTCATTTCCAATTGTAACTATGTGAGGATATTTAAAAACTTCTTATTTTAGAATAATTTTAGATTTACAGAAGAACTGCAAAAATAGTATAGAGAATTTTTATATACCCTTCACCCAGTTTCCCCTCATGTTAACATCTTACATTACCATGTTACATTTGGCAAAATTTAGACACTAATATTGGCACATTACTGTTAACTAAACCCCTAAATTTATTCCATTTTTCCACTAATGTTTTTCTCTATCCCAGATTTTCATCCAGGATATCACTTTGCATTTAGTGGTCATACCTCCTTAGTCTTCTCTGATCTATGACAGTCTCTCAGATTTTCCCTGTTTTTCATGACCTTGACAGTTTTGAGGAATATGTATTTTGTAGATTGTCTTCAAATTTGGTTTTTTATGATGTTTTTCTCATGATTAGACTGGAATTAGTGTTCCTGTGTGTCTGTGTGTGTGGGGGTGGGTGTGTAGAATACGGAAAATGTGGCAGTGTCCTCATAACATCAAATCAGAGGTGCATGATATCAGCATGACTTATCACTGGTAAGATAATCTTGATCACTAGGTTAAGATTGTGCTTGCCAAGTTTTTCCATTCTAACATTTCTGGTTTTTCCATTTTTTCTTTTCACAATTCTTTGGAAGGGATTATTATGTCCAGCCCACACTGAAGGTGGGGAGAATTAAGCTCCATCTCCTGAAGGGGGAGTATTTGCGTATGTTATTTGGAATTTTCTATAAGGAAGGTTTGTCTCTTCTTTTCCATTTATTTGTTTATTCAGTTATTTCTTTATATCAGTATGTACTAATGTATATTTTATACTTTGGGTTATAATCCAATACTATTTATTTTGTTGCCCACATTTTCCAGCTTTGGCCATTGGGATCTCTTTCAAATTTGTTCCCGTGGCCTTTTGACATGCCCCCATTCTTTTGTTTTCTTAAGCACCTCCTTACTCTCTGGCATTATAAGATGCTCCAGGTTCACCTAGGATTTACTAGTATTTCTATTGCCTCAGCCCTAGAATCAACCATTTTTCTAAGGAGCTCTGATTGCTTTTATTGGCAAATGGTATTTAGAAACCAAGATCTGGGCACTCAGTGTGCTCATTATTACTGGGTGTCACTCCTTCTAGGCCCTCTCAGTAAATAGAACTAGGAAACATATGTATGTATAAACATATGTATATAATTATTTCTGTATCTCTCCATCTGTAGACAGACGATAGATGAATGGTTAGGTAGATAGATATAGGAATTCATACTAAAG